TATTTGTATTAGACAAATTTGGAATGGAAAAAAGTGAAACATAACTGCTAATGACTTTCAAGCCCTTTAAAGGCTTCAGATACAAAATTAAGCCGAGAAAATACTTAGAAACAAAAATTTTAACAGCAAGGCTAATGATTTTCTAGCCCCTTGAAAACTTCAGATACAATACTTAGAATACTTATAATAGTTAGTATTAGAATACTTATAGTAAAAAATTTTAACATTACTGTTAATGACTTTCCATCTATTTGAAGGCTTCAGATACAAAATTAATTCGAGATAACACTTAGAAATAATACTTTTATTATTATTATATATTATTATGTTGAGGCTAGTTGAGTCAGTGCACTTAAACACTTTTACTCTCTGTTTCTCTGTTAACTGCGAGGTTTCTTCATAACCCCTCTCTACGCCTGGTTTTTTATCTTACGAAATAAACTAATCACGCAATATTTTTTATATATCCCAGAGGTACATATTTAGATGAGCAACTTATATCGGTTGCAGTAGCAAGACGCTGCGAAGTAGGTTTCATAACACCAACTTTTAGAGAAGATTGCAGTGCCAAATACTTTAAACTGTATAATAATTGTAACTGGTCTGCATATTTCTTAGCACTTCGACATACAGAATCTGGATTCCCACTAAGGTCTCGTCTAAAAACACAATATAAAACAATATATCTTTAAAAAAAATGCTTAGTGGCTTTGTTTCAGAGGTTTTAAAGAGGTCTCAGATTTCTCTAAGGCCTCAGAGAAAAATTTTTGGAGGAAATAAACTAGGATCAAACATAGTTAATTTTCGATCAAAAATAAAAATTTCACTACTTATATACAAGTTAGAAATTTGATTTGCAGTAAATTACTTACAACTTTTAAATCTTTATTTATTCTTCTAATAAGTCTTTTAAGTGACTCCACTCCTGATACAATACACCTAGCCAACAGTTTTTCTAATCCTATCTATTTTTCTATCTGATTTGATAAGGAATTGTCAAAGACGGTTTTCGAAATGGCTTTCAAAGCAAGTAGTGATTTGATTTTTATCTTCTCAATTGATCGAAACAATGTCTCCGAAGCGATCTCTTAAGTTTCCAATTCAGACGAATATGTGGGTTTTAAAATAATATAGAAATATTATGGTCCCGAAGCAACAATGTAATATAAGATTGTGCACATATTTCTGACCTTTTTTGCAAACATGACGCTTAAATAAAATAAAAACAAAAAATTCCTTAATAAGAGTTACGTCTGGCGGAATAAATTTATAGTATACCACCGTACGATAGTCGAGAAAACTGTTAGCATGAAGCTGATTATAGAACGACTTTGACTCAAGCCTTTCTGTCTTTGCACATCATTTGTATAGTATTCGCATAGATCTAAGTCCCCCTCTTATTTATCATGCATTTCATCCTAATAGTCAAAAAACCATTGTTTGACGGAAATATTTGGGATCTACATAATCCCAAATATTTTGCTTACTAATATGCATTTTTTTTTTTAAATTTTAAATATCTGATTTTAGTTTAACGCACTTTGATATTTCTCTTTTATTATATACAACTTTGATCACTTATTTCTCCATGATTTAACTTACGTGTTCTGCAGCAATAGACTTCACTATTATTATTTTTTGCTTCTTGACGTAGCCGGGTTTATGTCTCAAAACCAATCCTCAAATTCAAGAAGCACAAGCCGCTCTTCATTTCCATCAAAAGTTATCATAACCACAACGATTATTCTTTAACCTTGATAGAAGACATAATATTGACCATCTATAATATATAATAAGTATTTTCATAAGCTGTTCAAATAGTCTTTAAGAAAACATCATCTTTGATGTTAGTCAATGTGTAAAGTTGATTTGAGGGATTAGTACAACCTAAAAATTTACCTAAAATTACTAAACAACTTGCGCATTTTTATGATCTCACTTATAAGCTCGTGTAAAAGTCGAACTAATGGCATTTAGGTATAAAACCTCATTCGGGTTTGAATGTACATAATATCTTTTTAATTTTTTCAAAATTTAGGTTTTCTTTAGCAACGAGTTTTTTGCTCGACCTTCAACTTCAGCACACATTTTGCAAATATTTTTTGTTGAACTCCCCCAATTATTTGCGTTTGACCAAATCCAATTATCGTATGAAGGTTGTATATGGTCTGCTTTAAATCATCTTCACATTGTTTTATTTTTTATGAAAACAATACATAAGCCATAAAATATTGTGTATAAATTTTATTTATATTTAAGCAAAAAATGAAGCAATCGCACTACATTAAAATATAACGACTTCATTAAAATTTCAGTCAGAGCGGAGCACCCAACGTTCATAAGGAAAGAAAAAGTGAACTTAAGTGAAAGTGTCCATAATTGGGCGTCAACATTAATGAGACTTTTAATATTCGAACGAAGTTCGTACTTCCATACAATGCCTCCACAATGCACAATGGTGGAGGGAATGAAAACGCAACTGCGACTATAATTAAATAATAACAAATATCATGAAATCATTATTGCAATATGATGGGCTCCTTTAGTCTGCAACACATACTAACCTAACCCCCACCTTAATGACTAATATTTTTCGCTTGATGTACGAATACTAATAATAATTTTATATAAATTAAATCTAACGTCATTTCCGTTCAAACTGGAATTTTATTTTTCCGAAATCATTTTTTACTTGTGGTTTTATTTGACGAAATGCTAAATTATTAAGAGAATTAAATAATTTTATTTATTTATTTATTTGTTATTGTTATTATATACCATAAGAAAGTAAAATTGAAAATTTGCTCATTTTTAATGTTTACAATAAAAATTTGCACTCCTGCGGAGAGACGGAAATCGTACGTTATTAAAATATCTTAATTTATTTATATTTTATTTATCATTAATTCAGTTTTTTCTGCATTTTAAACTTCAAATACCGAACATAAAATATTGATGGAAATACTGTACTGTATATCTGGAATACAGTCATTTCAGTTGCAACGCCCTCATATGTACCCATTTGTCGTTGTTAGTTGAGTGCTACTTTGAACTCTTTTAATTAAACAACTCATTTGGTGGATCCATTCATTTACTGTCAGTGAAACAAAAGAAAAAAATTCATTCATGAATCAATCTACAATATTTTTTTTACGTTACTACGTTAGCAACATAAATAATAACAATAATGCTGTGTTTCTATTGGATTTGTTAGGAATTTCAATTTCAATTAAATTCTCAATTTGTTAACTTCCCCTTATTGAGTTCAGTCCGGAAACGTGTCGTCATTGTGATTGAAACTTTATGAAATATAATATGCAGTATCCATTTCACCAGTCTTTATTTACTACATACATTCTTTATTTATTAACTCAGTTAATGTACTGGATAATAATCCTAGTTAGTAACCAAAATTATAGAAAACTTAAGGAATTAAGGAACTTCTGATCAAGACTACATTTCAAAAATAAAAATTGCAGAAAGCTCTAATAGATTAAATTTCCTATTTTATGATAAAGACATTCCATTCTTTTATAACAACAAAATCTACTAAATGATCTCCAAAGTAACAGACCTATAGTGGCATGCGTACTGGAATATAAGGTTCTGCATATACATATGTATATTTAGGTTAATATCCAATTTAAGGCGCATGATAATTTTCAGCTTCGAGTACTGCAGGTTCCTCTATGATATCCAACTAACCGAAAACAGTGTCACCTGAGAAATTCTCTGAGTCAAATATCTGGGATGTTTTTTGTGACACACTATATATACTATGATATGAAACGATAGTTTAAATTAATCTAAAATCGTAAATTATACTAATGACAGTGATATAGTGGTAGTAATATAAATCTAAGCAGTCAATTAAGAGTCGGTTAGCTACAATAGTGAAATCTATACTGTTGTATAAGCCTTTTATATAAGCCTGTGATATTAAATACAGAACCTATATAAAGGGGTGGTAGTTGATGGGTCTGCAGGTCGTATTATATAGTGTCTAATTAGACAGTGTTTCGTATCTGAAAGATTAATTGGTATTAAGTTCATCGTGCTCTTGTGATTATTCCGCTTTTAAAGAAGCGTTGAAGACCGATGATGTCTGCATCCAGGAGTCACTCGTTTTCAACTACCAAGTACCACTCTCGTTAAAATTTTACTGCTTGTAATGAAAGTACTTTCACGACTTGAAAGATGGAATAACTTAAGTTACAAGAACAAAAACAAAAGCCACTTTTTGGCAATAACAACTAAAGTTAATTAATATGGAGGAACATTAAAAAAATGTGAAATGTGAAAGGTGTAATAAAGAAGTAACGATCATTTTTAATTTCTTCAACTATTTATTTAATCTTCAGCCCTTATTGCTTCCTTATCGAAGTATTGCCCATTTAAAGGGGCATTTATGCTACCACAAACTCCAATTTGAAAAATACTATTTAGATGCCTTTATAATTAAAAAGGTCTCGAGTTCGCAAAATAACGCAAATTTATATCTATTGAATCGCCTTAAAAAACTAGGGTAGAATAAAATTAAACTTAGTGCTAGCTTAACATACCTTATGTATACGCTTAAGCGCGTTTTACATTTATGAGAGTTCTAGGTTAAGTGAGTTAAGTTCATGTCAAGAAATGTTGTCCTCTAAGTGTCTTCTGGATCTATCTGTGTTAACACCATGCTTGTGGAATTATAGTGATGTTACATTTCGGTATGAACTCTTAAATATATGATAAATTTTGCGGTCACCCCTATATGTACAATAGTTTCATATATACCACTTCGTTTGTCATATAATATGCCTATCTCTTCACCACAATATTGAAAATTTATTTATTAACTGTTTAATTTTTTTTTTTTTTTTTCCGTGATGCACAGACCTCACATTAACTTTCGATTGATAAGTCACGACAACAACAGTTTTTATATATATTTTTATACTTCTACAATATCATATAAATAAAAATAATTAACATTTTTATTTCTATATCTTCTGCAGGTGCCGGTGAATCTGGAAAATCCACAATTGTAAAACAGATGAAAATCATACACGAAACAGGTTACTCTCAAGAAGAATGTGAGCAATATCGGCGTGTTGTCTATAGTAACACTATTCAGAGTCTGATGGCAATAATACGTGCAATGGGTCCACTAAAAATTAATTTCGCCGATCCATCACAAACAGAAATAGCACGACAATTCTTCACTTACGCTTCTGCAGCTGAAGAAGGTATCTTACTACCAGAAATTGCGTTGCTCATGAAGAAACTATGGGCCGACGGTGGAGTGCAACAATCATTCTCCCGTTCACGTGAATATCAATTAAATGATTCAGCCGCCTTTTATCTGAATTCATTGGATCGCATTTCACAACCGAACTACATACCAACACAACAGGATGTGCTACGAACACGTGTCAAGACCACGGGTATCATTGAAACACAATTCAGTTGCAAGGGTTTGCACTTCAAGTGAGTAAAACATGCGATCAACATAAACGAAACCATGTCGCAAATTTATTAACTTATAATGTTTTTAATTAAATAATTGTTTAAAAAAAAATACTTTGCAGATTATTTGATGTTGGCGGTCAACGTTCGGAACGTAAAAAATGGATACATTGCTTTGAGGGTGTGACGGCAATCATATTTTGTGTTGCTCTTTCTGGTAAGTTTGTAAATAATAGATTGGTTCAAAATGTATTATTATAATTATAACAGAGAGAAATAATTTAATATATATAACATATATGTATAATTAAAATTTTTTTTTTCTCAAATAAAAACAATTCTTTATAGTAAAAGTTTGATAGATTATAATAGTACCTTAAAGCTATATACTATTCAAATCATTAATATATTTATATCACTAGAATATGCTTAATACATATATGATTTTTTTTTTTTTGTGTTATAGGATACGACTTAGTTCTTGCCGAAGATGAGGAAATGAATCGAATGATTGAATCCTTAAAACTTTTTGACTCCATTTGCAATTCGAAATGGTTTGTTGAGACCTCAATTATACTTTTCCTGAACAAAAAAGATTTGTTTGAAGAAAAAATTAAACGATCTCCATTAACAATAGCATTCCCAGAATATACGGGTAAGTTCTACAAGCACATATTTTATTTAAAAAAAAATATTAAATAATTTTTTATAAATAAAAACATAGAAATAAACTAAAATGTACAATATCTATATCATTTACTCTACAATTATATAAAACTTTCCCACGGTTGGTGGGATAGTGCTAGCAGCTTCCATGTATATTTGCTCAAGTGAGTCGGTACTATCTGAATTTAGAATACTTACACTCTGTGAGGAATGAATTTACATCACGAAATTGTTTGTTCCAATATCCTTAAAACGTTACAAAAAGCCTATGAACAATTGTATAAAGCGATATTATTCACGTATGAATACTTTATTTTGATATGTGAGTGATATATTGTCAACTGAATAATCATTCAGATCAACTCTCAATGAAAACAGAAAAAACGAAGAATATAGTACTCCCAAATCATGGCAGAGACCTTTAAGGTAGAGCTTTGGTATCTTTATATATGTTGTTGTTTTTGTAGCCCGCGTGGATCTGTTTTGAAAGTCCCTTTGAGGGGTGGTAAACAGCACTTGGTCGCTGAAATTAACGCGTGGCTCTAAAACGTAAAATGGTTCAGTACACAAAGCTTAAAGCTATAGTTTTATAAATTGTGCGTATGCACTACAAAAGTGATTTATAATTGACCGCGCCAATTGTTGTCGTCAATTGATAGTACCTATTGTCTTTATATTGTTGGTCACCTGTCCCTTCCACAGAAGATACAAATGCTCTTTACCGTGTTTTTGACCAACGGGTACTGAATGGAACACATTTCTAACAAAGTCGGCAAAGTCCCTGAATTTTTCTACTTTTAACAATGTCGATATCGCAAAATAGCTCCTACAGTTTTTTTTGACAACATGGTTGTTGATTTAACTTAACATTGGCGTTATTTTTACTTCAAATTATTCACCGGTTTTTTTAACAGATCACATATCTGTTAACTACTGACTGTTGAAGATGGAACTGCCTGTAGACTGCCGATAGATAAACTTGCCTGTAGTTTCTGTGAAGTTCAAACTGAAGTGTATAACCATATTATCTCTTCATATTCCGTATTTGTTGAATTTATGGGGTTTAGACTCTTGAATTTGAATATTGTTAAATTAATAATTTTGAATTAATCAGGTTAACTTAAAAGATATTCTTTAAAGGTCAGGGTGAATTTTAGTTTGTCTTAGAATATTAATAAGTTTTTTTGATTTTCACCGTAAATTACGCTTAATAATTTGTGTTACAATTTTTTATTATACTTTTAAAAAATTATTATAATATAGATATTTTGATCTACTTCATAGACCATCTTCAACGTACATAAATAGGTCGTATTAACAATTAATTTTTAATAATAATAATACTATTAATGTTAATTGTAAAATATATTTTTAATATTGATTAAAATTTTTGCTATTTATTTACAGGACCAAATACATTTGAGGATGCTGCTGGATACATTGGCATGAAATTCGAAAATCTGAACAAGAGAAAAGATCAAAAGGAAATTTATACGCATCTAACATGTGCCACCGATACGAATAATGTACAATTTGTTTTTGATGCTGTGACAAATGTCATCATAAAAAATAATCTTAAAGATTGTGGACTTTTTTAATATTTTTAATATGAAAAGAATATTCATTCCATAATCAGATTTTATTTTAATTCCAAACTTGACAAGTCGTATTCTATTTTAAATTCTACTGATACATTCGTTTTAAGAAGTTATTACATTTAACATAATATATAAAAACTATTTAATAATTATAAGTTTACACTACTAAGTACATAAACAATGTCATATATATATATACATATATATGTATATTAGCTTATACACTAATAAATGCATTTTATACTTTTATTTTGGTTGCCACAATTTATGATAATGAAATATGAGAAATAACATTTTTTAGTTTACATATGCGATTGTAATTTTCTATTTGTCAAGTGCTTTTTTGAATACTACAGAAAGGTTATGAAAACGCCTACTAAGCACTACTTAATGTTATTTTAATATATTTATTTAATAATATAAATGTTGCATAGTAAGACAGTAAACTTACAGCAAGACGAGAGTAAGACACTTAGCTGAACATTTATGGTTAGTGTTTTGAGAATAAATAATGGACAAAATTATTGTAATACAATTAAAACAAAATATGGAATTGCGAAATAATGTTATTATTATTTTAAACTTATTCACAAATGATTATGTTGGATAGTAACTGTTATTTTAGTTTGTTTAGTTTGGCATTTGTTAAATATACAATTTGTACACAAATTAACTTTGCAAAAATTATTAAAACAAAAGCAGCTCATTTATCGTACGACGTAAGTCTTGTGCATAAATTTAAATATAAATAAACCGAATTTTATGCATATTAAATATGCAAACAAAATTTGCTTTATTTATTTATTTTAAATTAATTTTATTTTTCAACACTTTCATTTCTTTTTTATTTTTTGTAAAAGAAAAGTATTTAAATTAATATATGTATATTAAAATAAATATGAAGAACTTATTCACAAATTTTGTAATATTCTAATGAATAAATGTGTGTATGCTCTTCTATTTGGTATATATGCTAATTATGATAAAACCATAATTTTTACAATTAATATATTATATTATATATAAATTTAATATAGAAGAAACTTAAATATAATAATAGTTTTAACTGAAAAATAGTAAAAATAAAAGAAATTTAGACACTATGAAATTTAATGTTTTTTTTTATCAAGTATTTATGTAACACATGACTCACTAGAGTATCTTGCAAATAATCTAGAACAGTATTGTTCAAAAAGGGGGAAAATATTTATTGTCGTACTTCTTTTGGAGTACACTAAATAAAATATATTAAAAGTTAACTACATATATAATAATAGAATTGCAGCAATAGTAGAAAGTGTATTATTGTGGAACTTCGATAAGAATAGTAAGCGGATATTGAACTAGAATATAAATTCGGCCACTCTGTGTTCTGATGCCGTATAATGAGGAGCTACGATAATACTGTGAAAAATGCACAGTATTCTTGTAACATATATACTTGATGTAATAAGACAATTATATATAAAATTATGATTGGCGATTAATGGATGTAATTGAATTATTTAATTAAAAAAATAACGCGTTACTGTTAAGTTTACGTGAACTCTGCACCATTATACATTGTGACCGAAAAGCTTTCGGAAATTCTCATTTAAAATTCGCGCGCTGTATATTTTTCGATATTTTAAGTTTATGTAGTTTGGCAGCACTGTCCTTAATTACTATGCCAAAAATGAGCGCGATCTGTCAGACAGTTCGTTTACGGCAGCTGTTGAAACCAGTTCACCTCAGTAGTGCGTTGCGAAAAAAACAATGGAAAAAAATATTGAACAAAGAGTTTGCATCAAATTTTGTTTTTCGAACGAAATTTCGTGTGCAGAATCGTTGCGAATGCTACAAAAGGCTTATGGGGAATCAGTTTTATCGAAAACTCAAGTTTATGAGTGGTACAAAGCCTTTCAGGACTGTCGTACGACCGTCGAAGACATGCCGCGTTCTGGACGACCTTCGACCTCTACCACCGACGAAAACATTGAAAAGGCAAAGGAAATCGTGTTCAAAAATCCTCATGTGAGTGTTAGAGAGATAGCACGAGAGCTAGGCATCGGTCGTGAGATGGCTCGTTTGATTTTGGTGGACAATTTGTGTATGCGACGTGTCAACGCCCGGCTTGTTCCGATTCACCTCAATTTGTTCAACATTATCAACGATTTTAAGGCCAAACATTCAATAAATACCATCGAACAGCCACCGTATTCACCTGATCTTGCACCGTGTGACTTTTTCCTGTTTCCCAACCTCAAATTACCACTCAGAGGAACGCGTTTTGAATCCATAGAAGACGTAAAACAGAATTCGCAGAGGGAACTCAAAGCCATACCGGAAAGCGCCTATAAAAAATGTTTTGATGATTGGAAGAAACGTTGGCATTTGTGTATCGCTTCTAATGGAGCATATTTTGAAGGAGATAAAATAAATATTGATGAAGATTAAGAATTTTGCGTTTTATTTATTTATTTCCGGAAACTTTTCGGTCACAATGTATGCAGCAGTAAGAAAGTGGTTCTCTGACTTCGTATATGGCTATACAAGCTTAGTTGAAAATGACTTTTCTGTATGAACAAGAACTTTTGAAAGATGAAAACATCATCAACACATCCAACATCATGGTATTGGATCGGTGAAACGTCGTATAAAAGTGAGACCTTACTGAGATTGTGGGTGTTCCACTTAGTCGCATTTGGAAAATATTACTTAAAAATAGAAGAAGCATAAGCTATTCACACTTCAAAAGACGCATTTGTAGACCTGCTGTACCATTTTACTGAGTAATGTAGTCACCGAAAAGCAACACCTTCTGTCAAAGAAGATACTTTTTTCAAGGATGTAAGGATGATCTTAAGCAAAAATAGATAGTTGACAATATTATAAGAATTTTCAGCATATTGTCTCGTCTTATCAGTATACCTACTGATAGCAATATAACGTTAAGATACAATAAAAATAGAGTATATAGTTTTACAATTGTAGATATAGAAATAATATTTTTTCGATAAACAAATCTCGTACTCAGAATAAATCGTACTCCAACAGTGGTGGTATTCTGTGGTTTATAATTATAGTCTGTCTTATAGTCTGTCGTTATGCTGGGAGTTTGAGTGAGAAAGACATACTTTAACATTATGTTTTTTTTAATTTTGTTCACTCAAGTGTTAAGATGAAATTGAAATGCATAATAGAATTAGAAAAGGATAAATATATAAAATTTTAACGCACATTCAATAATTTTCAAAATATTGGACGTCGCATTGTTGTATACGTGTAACGTTATTGTAGAGCAATGTTCTATCAAGTTTTTTAGCAATTGGGCGCGAGTAATTAGGCTGTTTAATAATAACTTCAACCTCAAAAATAGAAAGTTACTATATACTCAAATAATTAGGCCAGCACTACTGTAAGAATATGTTACATACAGCAAAACCTAAAATACTGCTAAAAAGCAATTACAGATAGCCTGGCTATAAGATTATTTGAGATTCCAAAGTATATTAACACAACAGACATACACAGAGATCTAAGGATCGACTCAGTGAAAAAATATATCAGGCACAGAGCCCTAAAATTATTCACAAAACTTGATACACTGCCCAACCACGTCCTAACAAACCTTTAAGTCCACCTCAGGACCCACAGAAAGATATGCTGATCTACGGTTCGTCATCAGTTAGAAGATAAATAAATTATAATAATTCTAGTATAGTTTAAGCCTAATGTGGGACAGAGATAAGCCCCCCAGCCACAAAAGAATAAAAGTATGCAATAGCACTAACTCAAGAAACCACAACAACAAAAAGACTGTTTTTATAGCACTTTGCATTTGATTATATCTTCTACGATACTAATGCGGTATAATTTTTAATCGCACAAATATCATATCGATTTGTGTGCGTTCCTGAATTTGCCTTTATTACATTATAATAATACTATACATACATTAAAGGTCGGCAATTAAATAGCCCCTACCTGTATTAAGTACTTTATATGCAGTGAGTATTACATATGTGGCAAAAAAATTTCCTAGAATTTGAAATTTATGAAAAATAATTAAATTTAAACTAAGTTGTTATATATATACACATATGTGTCAATAAATTTTATGTCAAAATAATACTTTAAAAATTTATTTTAAGGAATTGTGCATTTAAGAATTAATTGTTTTATTCTTATTTCTTATTATACAGTCGCTTTCAAAGTTTTGAATTTGAATTCATCATTGCTTTTTACATTATTGCTTATGGCAATCATTTTCATTCCTTTTAACATTGAACGCTTACCCTTAAACGGAAATCGACTTTGCTTCGTACTGTCAGTCAAAGAATAATTTTGAAGTGTCGGAAATTGTGTCGGCCATTTTGGCGTAAACTTTATTTCAAACATTTCTTGCGCTGCATTAACTTTAGTTTTTTTGTTGTTTAAATTTTAGTTAAATTGAAGTATTAACATAGAATTATTCTAAAATCAAAAATCAAGTAAGTAAAATGGAAGAGAAAATCAAAAATTTCTATATTTCGTCTGAATGTAATAAAATATATTAGTTTGTATAATTTTACAGACATATTCGATACCTTTTTAAATATTTTATTTATAAGCAACAATAAAAAGCTTCGCGCTACGAAAAGCAACAATTAAAAGCTTTCTCGCTACGAAGAGCAACAATTAAAAGCTTCGCGCTAGCTTTTTTTTATAAAGCTACATGAAAAATTCAGCGGCTAAAAAGCATTAAAACTAAGCACTCATTAATAGGGCAAAAACAAAATAATTTAAAATTTTTCTTGACAGTGGATTAAAATTAAATTTTTATTAAAAATAAACAGTAAATATAACAAACTTTTTGTTTATTGTTAGAAAATGTTGGCATCCAAGACTTTGCGTTTGCTACCTGTACCTTCAAAAAATGGAACAGGTTCAGCGATGCAGTTGTTGCAAATGATATCACCCGGTATTAATGTCGATCGAGGTAATTTATTCATATTTCTAAAATCTATGAAAGACTTATAAAATAACTTTTTGCTCTTTATAGACAATAATCCAAATGATTTCATCAAAAGTGCACCGATGACATCATATAGAACTGCTTCTGTGCGTTTGTTTTGTTCAGCTGATGGTCCCCCACAACAAGCAGGAGCTAAGGCATCGACTAAAGCATCACCACCACCGTCCTCATCGTCATCACAATCCGCTGCGACTGTAAAGGCACAATCTTTGGATGATAAAAGTCCAGCAACGCAACTGCTTTCACAATTGCCAGACAAAAAGCAGGTTGAAAAGTATTTTTTCCGCATTGTGGCATTTATTTGGGATACATCACATTGGGCTTACCGTATTCTTAAGCATAACGTCGATGAGCACATTATTAAGAATAAATCCGTTCAAGATAATTACAAGAAGTTTCTTGAGAAAATGGAAAAGTCCAAAAAGGATTAATGGGTTTAACGGAAAATACAGCTAACAAAGAAATACATAAAATTCATTTTTAAAATTTAAATTTATTTGTAAACGAAACGCAAATAAAAATAAAATAAGCGCAAAAAAATGTATAAAAAGACAAGTTATTTGGTAAAAACTAATTAATTCTTTATTCAATCGTACATATCTGTTAGTTGCTTAAATATTAGAGAGAAATGTAACTTTGTAATAATTTTGCCAAAAATTTGATTATTTTATTACGAGCTTCAACCAATTGTGGTGGATCAGTATGGATCGGTTCATACATATTTGCGCAATGTGCAGTTCCTAAATTAATAAATATTAAATTTAGTCTCATATAAAATAAAACATATTACAATATAGAATAATACCTTCTATATAAATTGTAGGTGTTTTTGGATTTTTACTATTGATTAAACCAAGTGCATGCCAAGGATCAATTGAACCATGTACGTACAATACATTAGTAGTTTCAGGCTTCAAAGCACCATAGAAGGTATTGGTATTAGCTACAACTTGATCGAGATATTCTGCATCCATTCTGAATGATGAAAATACCCAAAAAATAAAGTAATTAAATAATAATATTCTTTATATAAATAAATAAGTAATAATGAATAACTAAATAATATAATAATAACCTATCTGAGTATATATCCATGCATTGATGTATGAAAAAATCTGCTCCAAAACGGTTGCCGAATGTATCACTTTTATTTGTTGATGTTTGATAAAAACCAAACTCATTACAAGTTTGATATGTCCATTGCCGAGAACCACCTGCGCACTCAGCAGTCCAAGAAGTTTCTTTCATGTCTGATATCATTTTATCATATTTATAATCCAAGCATTTTTCCTTTGAATTATCTAAATTCATACTATTTACAATGCCTAAACGAGTTACAGGAGGCCCAATCGTAGTATTTAGCATAACGTCACAGATCTGCAAAGATGTGCATTTGTTAAAATTAAGCAATAATTATTTTATATTTTTTATATACTTCATCAATAGTAATGTTAGCATGTGGGCTATTATCTTTGTTATACTGCACAACACCAGCAAAATTACTAGCAAGATTCTCAAAGAAATTAGACAAATCAAATGGATTTTCAATGGAGTCTTTGATAGGTGTACACGTTCTAAAATAAATAAATAAATTATGTTAAAAAAAATATATTTTCTACAAATAAATACTTCACCTAAATTTCTCATCGATATTTCTCTGACCAATCATATGCTTAAGTAAGATTTCAACCTGCTCAAAGGCTCGCGATACGGCTTCAACACAGTCTGGATTATAACTAGCCAATGATGCCTTTACTACCTCAAAATACTCTAAAATCAATTAAGAATACAATAATTATATGAATGTTAACAAAGAGTAAAAGTAAATTGAATATTAAAAGTGATCAATAATGGCAATACAAATTTGTATATAATTCAATTATCATCACAATAACATAACGTAAAACTACAAACCTTTGAAATCAACTTCAGCAAGTAATGGACCACTAGAACTAATTGAACCGTATATTAAATCAGGGTATTTTTCACGTAACCATGCAGCTAGAGACCCAGGGTAGGATCCACCAAATGCTATCCACTTTTGTGTACTAGCAAGATTGTATTCTTTGCGCATTGCCTTTATAAAAGCAGCCAAGTCAGCCAAAGCTTGTTCCGATGTAAGATAGGCAAGATTTTTTGTTGATAAGTCGCTTTTATATAAAAAATTATGAATGAATAAACATTAAATAATGTTATATGCAGTACCTGGTTGGATGACTTTTACCATAATAACGATGTTCAACTTGAAAACATAGTGCACCAAAATGTTCTGCATAATGTATCCAAGCACCCTCTTTCATCCATTTTTTCGAAGCCTCTCCCTCACCACCTATCATAAGAAAAATTGGTGCTGTGCTGTCATTACGGTAATATTCAGTATTAACAAAATAACGCTGAATAATAAAAAGTTTATTATTTAGACAATGCGCACTATATTTTAGTTGTTACCTGTTGCCAAGTGTCATCTTGTTTGTTGTTGAAATGATCTAATTGTTGTGGAAACCATAAGTCCTTGACTTCTTCTTCGCGTTGAAGTGTAGGAATTTTACTTGGTTCACCCAAAAATCCATGCACTAATCGGCCATGACGAAACTTTCTAAGTCCGTAGGCACTTTCAGTTTTGTACCCAACCAAGACAAACGATACTAGCAGCCACAGGCAAAAAGTTTTAAATAATTTAAGTCTATGGTTCAGCACGTTCAACATTTTACTTTTTAATCCGTGAATACACTTGTTATACTCTAGAGCTTTGTCAGTACAATGAACCAACTATAAATAACAGCTTTGTTTTAAGCGATCAAATATATGTTAAAAACAATCGTTGAGGTTATCAGCGATTATGTTGCAAATTTGTAATGCAAAAACAAAAACAAAAACAATTCAATGCTTTATGGCTAACCCACACAAGCGCATAGTTAGATTTTTAGTTGTTTTGCTCTTATTTTGTTTACTTAGAAATTCTTTAGTGAAGCACTATTTGCAAGTGATTACATATATGTATAATTAATAATTGACCACTGACAAGAAATAAATAAATTTATAATCTAATTTGCCGCTACTTTTTGTTTACAATGTTTTTTATAGCAAGAAAACAGAGTTGCCATGTATTCAACATTAGTAAAAATGTATAATGTAGTTAAAATTTTTGTTTTTTGAAAAATAAAAAATTTACTACTTGGCATAGCTTATGCTATATTCTACATAAATATATATTTTTTTTATTACAATTTTATATTTTTGTTTTACAACTATAAAATTTTTTTTGTCCGGATGTAAAATTTTTTGATTCTGTTTTTTATGGAAAATTTTTGTCAATATGTTTACAGCTGCCAGATTTTTACCTATTAGGCATCTAATAAGGTTCAAAAATGTCCTTTTGAAGCATATTCCGGAGCATCCACCTTGTAGTTTGCAATTTAGTTCCCGTGCGCCTACCAAATCTATTATAAATGATGAGTGTTCATTGATTCACTATGGTCTAAGTGCGAGACAACTTCCTGGTTACTGTAAGTTACAAATAACAAATTATATAGAGATATTCACAATGTTGCTTTTTTTTATTAATGACTTATTATTTCACTATATTGCTTTGAAAGGTAACAAAATAAATTCAAGAATAACAAATTTTCAATAAGGTACACTAGGAGTGCTCACCTGAAATGGCGTTCACACTGACACGTTTCTTTCGATAGGACATGTTTTTGTGTTTTATACTGGATTCATACAAGAGTTTTGTATGTAATTTTATCTGTCAAATTTTAGCTTTCATTTTGCATTAAAAGCAACAACAATTGACAGACAGAATTACAAACAAATTCTCCTATGTATCCAATATTAACGAAGAAAACTTGTTTAAACAAAAATCTGATTGTATACTGATTTCCATCAATCTGCTTGTTTTTCCTGTAAATATTGCTATTACACATGAGACTTGACGAAAATTTCGCATTTCGACACACCAAGTCAACATTCAAGAATTATGTGGAATATCCGCTTTTAACTGGTCGTTTTCTTTATATTAGTCCTATGTATTATAGATTTAACAACCAGAAAATATATTTTCTCATATTAACATATTCTTATATTGAGATTCATTTCATTATATTTTATGAGCATTCTAAGGAACTCTACTAATGCAACCGTAGCCGTAACCAACATCATCTCAACCATTACCTTATTAATTAAATAATACTGTTACATTATATTTAACATTACAAAATAAGTAATTATGCTGTTATATAATTCGCAGGCCGAGAGAATTCATCAAGATGTTCTCCAGCTTGTTCATGTGGCAAAGAGAAACCTAAACCTAAAAAAAAGAGATCTGGAGAAACATGTCGCCCCGGAAAAAGTTCAAGAAAACTACCAGGAGGTAGTAATATAAAATTTATAGTAGTGTCTAAAATTTTATAAATAGTTTTCTGTTGAACTTTTAGGTGATGAAGGACATTCTAAGCTTTTTCGTTATTTTTCGTTTGGCATTATTCCCATAATACTGCTTTTTAGTGTATTCACCCTTGCGTCAATTGGTCCCCATCGACGTGAACCATTTGTTAAATATACGTATTTACGCAAGAGAGATAAAAAATTCGCATGGGGAGATGGCAACAAAACATTCTTTCACAACAGAAATGTAAATCCCTTGCCAGAGGGTTATGAAGACGATATAGAAAGAGCTCAAAGAGAAGCAGAGGAAGCTGAAGCGAAAAAGAAGAAGAAGAAATAGGACTTCCGAGAGTCTTAGTACAACAACCAAAAATCAAAAATTATGGCAGTTAAGCACAATTTTTAACAGGCTATACGAACCGCCAATGTTGTACATCTTGCTAAAAATTGGATTAACATGACATTGACACAAATATCAAAAAATATCTTTCAAATAAGATCTAAATTCCTGAAATTGAGCAAAAATTGATTTTGCATTTTCCAACAATTAAAGAATGTAAATTTATTTTATAAGGATAGATTTTTTATTTGAAAAATATTTAGAATACAAAAATAAAATTAACATTTAACATCCGGCACGTAATTGCATTGTTCATTTAAATCGGGCATTTTAGTTTTATCTACCGCAGGGCAATCTACACATATAACTCCATTATGCTTTTTGGTTTGTAAATCATCCACATTTTCCTTAGAAGGTATTTTAGGCAAAGAAGATGTAATCACTTTTGATTCAACATTAGCAAATTTAGATTTCGAATCTGTTTTTGGTAGGGAGGTGGTTTCTGCTTTCTCAGTATCTTCGTCATTATTGTACCAGTATTCCTAAATAAAATTATTTTAATAACATTATTTTAATACACTAAAAATATAACCATAAACCTCTGGTATATTCCAGACTATTACTGTTCCATCCAAGCAGCCACTAACACAGAATTTTCCACATGGACTCATCGTACAACTTATAACAGCAGACGCGTGATCAACTCCAGTACATAGTACGATACCACGATTATAATCCCAGAACTAAAGATAGCATAAGTTAAAATAAAAACGTTCTTACTTCGAATATAATACATATGTGTACATATAACATAATATTTATGTGATCTTTATATTTATATAAATATTATTATATTTACTTCAATAAAAATATGTATAATATAATGTATACGATATAAAAACAAACTAATAAACTTTTGTGTAATGCTCAAATTGGGTATAACTCTTTATATTAATCTTCTATATAACGAAAGTAATTGCTTTCTCGAACGATTGAAAATTAACAGTAACAGAATTCGTTATTCTTTCAACAATCAAGACAATGACAATGGCACAGCTATATATTAGATGCTTTATATTTTAAGTGTAATTAAACTGAACCATTAGCATTACAAAAATGGTAGACATAGAAATTTTCTTACAGGTTTAAAGTCGAAAAATTTTAAAAGAAATTTTTTTTTTTGATTGGACGTTGATCGCTTTATCTGGATTAACTACAATATTCCATTGAATCGAAATTATAGTAAGCGTTATATCAAATACATTATCTATTAGAATTTTTACTGTTTTTTATCACAGAAAATGATTAATCCTATATATCTTAATTGGTAGCCACAATCATGAGATGTACTTCAACAATTTTAAAACTTCAATAGATACAGGTACAGTGAGGAACTCTTATTCATACTCGGTTTGAATACAGACAATGAAATTTTATCAACTAAGTATTAGTGTATATATATGTACTCATTTCAATTCAGAAGAGGTTTTAGCCCATCCCATAAATTTATGTTAAAATTTTATATTTGCTTACTTTTACTGTTTGATCACTCCCAGCCGAGCAAAAGTAACCGCCATTACTACTAATGGAAACACAATTCATGGAATACTTTCTAGATCCTTCTATTTCACGCAGCAAACTACCGTTGTAAACCATCCAATAATTAATACAACCATCGGAACCACATGTTAATACCTGAACACCTGTTGGATAGTAACGAGCAGTCATAAATTGTGTATTTGCAGTAAATACTTTTTTACGTGTCATTCGACTGTAAGAATAAAGTTAAACATTTAATATTTCATTTAATTATCTGCTTTGCTTTTACATACTTAATGTCCCAAATGACACAAGAACCATCACTACTAGACGAAATGACTTCAGTATCTAAATGATTGAAATCCAAGCAAGTTACTGAACCTGAATGATCTTTAAGCACAGCAACTAAGCTCTGTCGAAATGGTTCAATTTTCCATACGCGAACCTGTCCTTCAATACCTCCAGTAACAATAATGCGACCAGTTTTAGAGACGGCTAAAGCACTACAACCTAAGATTAGATTAACAATAAAAAAAGGGCTTAAAAAAGTAAAATTATTAAAAAAAAACCTTTATTATGTGCATTTGGAATTGCATATATAAGACGTCCAGTTAAAGGTGTAAAAGCGCGAATAACCCCATCATTCCAAACCGATACAATACTGCTTCCATCAAAAGCAAATGCTAATGCAGAACATTGAAAATTATAAACCATAATACGTAAAAGCTCCTGCAAGAGTGTAGCAGACCATATACGTATGTTTTCATGGCCACCCGTAGCGAAAACAGATGAGAGATTTCTATATAAAAAATAGATTATCTGAGCAATATAACACTTAAAGTACTTACAATGAACTTACCGTGGAAACACAATAGAGTAAACTGGTTGATTGTGGCATGTTTTTAATAATTTTAAAGAAAAATCTTTAACTAGCAAATAATATATTTCATTCTTCTCTGTACTAATAAAATATTGGTATGGTTTAGCCTTTACCAATGACGAAATGGGTCCATTTACTTTAATAGTTTTAAGCTTTTAAAATAAAAAAATGATTTAATATATCATTGTGGTTTTATATAAACTTACTGTTCTTAGAACTGGCCAAGTTGGACTTGGATAACTTTTAAAATATTCCATAGTTACTTCTGGACGTTCATCAACCAGCTCTACTGTACCATCTCCTGCCCCAATCAATATCAAACCTTTATCTACAATAACAAGTCGTCGAATACCGCAACCATATCTTAAGCAATCTCTTCCATATGGCTTACGCGGATAATGTGTGCCAAATGAACCAATCATGGCAGCAATATGACCGGGTTTTGTTACATTTACCTTATCACAACAATTAAGTTTAACTTTAACTAAATCTCCAGTCAAAGTTCCAAGAAAAAGTATTTCGTCACATTCATCTATTTCAATGTCAGTGTATGTTCTTTGGTGTTTGCCAACATGTATATCATGAACATGAAGTTTCTTCTGGTCTTGCAATATAGACCACAAACGTAAATGTCCTTTTAAAAACATATATATAAATCAATTAATCAATTACTACACTTACTTTATTGAAAATAATATTAAACTTACGATCTCCAGCGGTTACAAAGAAAGAAGAGTCGTGATGTAGTGAACGTACATGTAATGGATTTCCAGAAATTCCCCTAGATGAATTAGAGCGACAGAAAGGAGTACTATAAAAATATTATTAACATAAATAAATTCATTAATAAATTTATAAATTTACTATGTAGCCACATCAAATACAATGACAGTACGGTCATCCTCTCCACCCAACGATATTAAGTATTTGTCCTCTGCACTAAATGAAAGAGACTGCACGCATACCTATCAAAATAATGTTAAAAAATTAATCTTTTTAGTACGTTTATTATTTTAGTACGTACTTTGTGTAAATCGTGTCTAGTAAGCTCTTCTTTTTTCTCCCAATCCCATAGAATTACATGCGCACGAAAACCCATGTGGTTCACTTGACCAGAAGCTATAAAGCGGCCACTATTGATTGAAACTTAATGATAAGAACGGAAAAATACGTTAGAATTTATAGTAGTTACCTTGGACTAATGTCTAGACAAGAAACAGCTTTATTATGCCCAGATAAAAAGGTTTGAGCATTAGTCTTTAAATCGGCTATAGCAATTTTTGAGCCTATTGGGTAAAGCAAGTGATTATTATCCTTGTGAATTTGCACACCACCTACAACACTTCCGTTAAGCCCAAATATAGCACGTGGCTGTAAGAGGGTAATTGTAGGGTCCCTTTTAGCATCGATTATAGGATCCATCTTAAATGTGTTGAATGAACGAACTTTTTGAAAAACAGGTACAAATATAAAACAGTGTATTATTTAATTTTAAACAGACAAGTTTTAAAAACCAAATTTTCTGACTTAGTTTTCATTACAATTTGTAATATTTTTAAAAATTAACAACTGTTATATCCATGGTGAAATTTGTAGCCGGTTTGTTTGTTGTGTTGCTATGTTGATTAAAAACAAAACTTAACAAATAAATATATATACATGTAGAAACTTTCTCTAGATGGTACTCACAGATATAATTTTATTCCATTACTATTTTAATTATATCTGATGATATAATAAACATATCAAAAAAGAATTAACGTCAAGTCGATATATAAATTTGTTTACTGCACCTTAAAACATTATGTAGTGTCAATAAAAACGTATATAAAATTTATAAATTAAAACAAAAATGCTGTAATAAAAGTAAATTACAATTACTAGCTGAACTTTCACTAAATGTTCTTAATAACATTTTAAATTTATTAAACTGTTGCACTTATCTTTAACAACACAGTGGACATAATAACACACCCTGTGATACAATAAAAAGAAAATTCAAACATTTATTATTAGGGTTACCAGCTCACAATAAATAATATTTTTCTCTGCACGAAAATTTGAACGGGACATGAATATTATTAATAGCCAGTATTCATATATGAGATCTGTTCCACGAGCTACTCATAGTAGCTTTGAGTAACACTGTGTATACACAAGCGCGTTCCACCAGAAAATTTTCGAGTAAAAGAGAGCATCTGAGAGGGTGTAACATCCCTGTAAAAATTTAAAAATGATACACAGACTTTATTCGTACATTTTATTTCAAGTAAATTTTATGTTGATGTGTGATTTGTCAGCTGTTTTGGTTTGAATTTAAATGTTTGCACTGTTTATTTGCGCGGCACTGGTGTTCTCACCAGATTTTACACAAACCTGTTCCATGAAAATCTATATAAAGAGCGTAATTTGGCACTTTATTTGTTTTACTTGAGTTTTACTACGAGTAGCGCGTGGAACAGACCATGATGTTGATACACGGTAACAATTCTATTATGTATATTTTCATAGAAATGAGTTGTTTTCTCGATACAAAAACTTGTTAAAAGCAATTTATTACTTAAATGCATACTTTAAAATATTTTTATGTTTTGGCTACTAATAAAATAGTTTAAAACTAATACATATATAATAAGAGACTTGTTTTTATATACATTTTGGCTCAACCAATAGGTCATGATTAATCATAAAACTCATAAAAAACTTATTTATTGAACGATGTTCAAACCAACTGAATGAGTTAAAAATTAGTTGCTCTGTTTATATTTTGTTTTATAAAATTTGACAATAAAAACAATAATGTTAAAATGTGAGTTCTGAAACGATAGTTCAGAGTTTACATTCAGAATATATCTGAATGTAGGTTTGTGAGTTGGCTAGTACACAGATAAAATGCAACAAATGCTTACTTAAAAATTAAATTTGTTTAAATGTATTCTAACAGCATTTTTTTCGTTAAATCATTTTAAACGAATATAATTTGATAGTGTAGATATAGCTTAATACTACGTTTACATTGTAAAATTAATAGTAGATTAAAGCAATCATTAAGATTAAAGTACTAATCTAGTTGTTTAATAACCAACTTCCCATACAATAACTCACCTCGTTTTGGTCGGGATTAATTTTAATTCTCCTTCAAAATGATGCTTATTTCTCTGTACAACCCTGTAAATGTTTTAATATCGTAGAATTTTTTACGATATTAGAAGAATTGGAAAAGAAATGTCAAAATCTATTTAAAACAAAAGGTAGAAATTTGAAAATGCCGAAGTTAGTGACATTCTTATTAAATTTGTTTAATAATAGTTTTGTACATAATTATAACTATAATTTGTTAAATTTTTATTATAGAATTTTTAATAAATATATATTGTAATATTTTTATACATAGTTGTAATTTAATCCATTATTTTTATATATAAGGAGTCGGAACTTTTATCAAACACACGTAACAAAACATAATAAGAAAAACATCAAATTTAAAATTGAATGAATAATGTAAATGGTATAGATAAATACAGATTAACTTCTAATTAAACTAGTAAAACCGTGGTGCTTGCTATTATGATCCTCTTAAAATTTTATTGATATGTATATAATTACATATATTCTGTTACTTATATTTATATATAAATATATTATTTATATACATATATTTAATTACATTAAATCATACAAAAATGTAAGTTAAATTGTAGCAGAATATATAGAAAAAAAAACATTAGCCATTATAAAACACCCCTAATAGCAGTACAAGGAACAGATACAATAGCAAAGAACTGATGTATGTTTATATTGTGCAGAAAATGTTGTAAAATCTCCTATTAAACATTTTTAATATTATAACATTTTCAATATTCAGTAAAACTCATGTATATAATTAATAATTATGATATTTACATTCATATAACTGTTATAATGCACACACTATTTGTTCTTAAAATGTGTGTAATACACACTAAAATGTTCGCATTGCACAATAAAAAATCATATGTTTTCATGAAATTGTGTCAAATATTGTGTCTTGTATGTTAAATGTATGTACAATGAAATACGTTAAAATGCATAAAACAGCCGCAATCGGAGAGAGCGCGATTATTCTCGTTAAAGCGGCGTGCGAGTGATGGTGACTAGTTGTTCGTCACGCTAAATTTGTAAAATAATAAAAGAAGTAAAATTGAAAAGTATTTATAATTTGCAATAATAAGCATAAAATTATTTAAAAAATTGTGCAAACAAATTAACAAGTGTGTAATTATATTTAATATTGTGTAATTTGCTGATTACTACACTCAACTTAGCGCATATTTTGCATTTCCTGTTCTCGAAGCATAAAAGAATATTTGCTGCAAGCAAAAGGAATTTGTGTGGAATTAAGTGAAAAATATAATAAAAATATATAAAATGATAAGTTCAATGAAAGTTTGTTGCATTGGCGCTGGCTATGTTGGTGGTCCAACTTGCTCAGTAATGGCGCTGAAATGCCCAGACATAACAGTTACCGTAGTCGACAAAAGTTGTGAACGCATTGCACAGTGGAATTCCGACAAATTACCTATTTATGAGGTAAGTTTTGCGAACGCATAAAATGACTTAATAATGTAACGATTAAATAATTCTCTAAATACATGAAAATATTTTTTAATAAATAATAAATTAATCTGTTGAGGTGAAATAAATTCATTTTTGTAGTTTATATTGTTTATTTGGTTAAATGTGAAGGTTCAAGTGCTTTAGCACGATCATCTACAGTTCTAACCTCCCCTTGAGCTCTTACACCTCACGTAAATGTGATTCCCATTAGTGCTGCTCCGCAAGGTCAATGTCATTTAAGTCGTCCATTCAGTTTTGTTCGTATGATAAAAAGTTTGCGTCTCGAATTTCAATTAAATTCCATATCATTTTTCTTATATTTTGGTTTTGTCGCTTTTTTTTTTTTGTGCTCGTGTTGATAGTATTTTCAAGCAGTTTTAACCTAATTTTTATGGGTTCACTTCATAAGAATTCACAGAATTCAACCAGCCCAAAGGCAAAACTAAACTACCGCACTTGTATATCGCACAGGCGTATACAACTTCCTCTAGTCACATTTCGATAAGAGCACTTGCGTTGTTCTAATTACACTTATCTTTGCGTTAACTCTTGTTTTTTGTTATATTATTTATTTATCTCATTATTGTTTTTTTTTGTTATTAGCTAATGATTTTATTAATTTATCATTCAGACGACGAACCTCAGATAGTAAATAACACTTCTGTGCTTTTTGTGTTAGACATTATTGAAAAACTTATTTTGTACGGAAATTATTCTAAGAAGAGTCTGAAGTGTTATTTATAAAATACACGCAATCCGCAAGTGCTAAAAATTAGCGATTCTTTCTTTGGTTTCGTATACATAAATAAATACCTTCACTTAGTATTGTAACTTTCTTTTGCAGAATCTGTAAAAATTCCTCAAGATCATTTACTCAAGTAATTTGAAGTATAAAGTTAAGTATTAAAATTGCATTTAAATTTATATAAAATAAATTAATATATTAAATGCCAAATTTGAATTAAAAGTAATAAGTAAAATGTACTCCTTTCATTGGTCCAGAGCCCTTCTGCGGGGTAAGAAATAACTTCACAAATAACTTATTATGTGAACGGGAGAAACAAAATCTACTTGAACACTGGACAGCCCAAACAGCCATGCGGTAGTCAAGAAGATTCATTGATCCTGAACACATCAAAGTTGACGCTATCCTTAATCTTAGCAAAAACGATATTAAAATCTACACTGAACTTCTTACAGAATACTATAGATTTAATTACCACATGAAGATTATAGATGCGGTAGAAAGTGATTCCTGTCGACTCTGTCATGAGGAGAAGGAAGCATCAGAACATATATTATGCAACTGCCAACGGCGGCAAGACGTAGACCCGACTACATTGGAAGCGAGATCTTAGTCCCAAATTAAATAGGTAAAATTAAGCCCACAGCAATTACGAGATTTATAAATAGTCTAGAATTGTGTTAGTTGGGCACAATAGATCTTTTAGGTCGGGTTGTATTCATAGCCTATTATATAATAATAACTATTATTTAATAATAATAAGTAAAATAATAATTTTATTCAAAAGATTGTCTGTCATTCAAGCTGGGACAGTTTTATACATAATAATAAATTAAGTGAACTCTATTTTTCAAAATTGATATTCAAACTAATCGTTTCGATTTATTATAATAAACGAGACGTAAAGGAAATGTTCAATTTCATTTTGTTTACATTTCAAATACTAAAAAAAATGTTTAAAACATTCGAAATGTTTAAAATTGTTGAATACTTGCAATGCAAAATTCAAGTACAACCTTGTGCTGCAATTGTAATAAAACTAATATAATAATCCGAATGCAACAAAAATTGTGTTACATTTACCAGATCTCATATCATTATAAATGTCATTTATTTCATTAAAAAGGTGTTATTGATATCGCTGATGCATACTCTTCATTTATTATTGTTTGATTCATATAATTATTTTCTACATAGTCGTTCTTTTTTCCTCTTTCTATGATCTGTAGACTGTCTTAAGGCATTCTTATAATATGACCAGTCCATATTAACCGTTCTTTTCTCATATTCACTTATAGTATAATTCATATTATCATATCTTTTATTAAGATGAATGGTGACATTATAAAAAGTTTTTATCACTAGAAAACGTTGTCCAATTCCAGGTGATTAAAGATCAACGGCATTTGAATATAAACATAAAATAAACTGTCTGGGCTAAATCCTAGGTCCTGCTACGGATTAATAAAATTACTTCTTCTAATGTCCAGCATTAGTTTGAATATTTAGAATAGTGTTCATTAAAGAAATGTAATTAGATCGAGGTTATTGCATGGATGCCCATTAAGTTTTGATCTAAAAATTTGATTTGAAAAATCTTTGAAAAATGCTTGATGACTATTTTAGGTTCAGATCTTTAAGTACTCCTTAAATTCGAAAAAATCTCTACCATCAAAACGTATGGTTTACTCTATCTATTATTTGTTGTAGATCTATATTCAGTAATATTCTGAACGCATCTTGGTGTTTTAAAAATGACCAAAAAGAGTTGTATCTGAGACAAGACTAAAAAGTAGAAGAGTATTAAAAATAATGGTACGTATTTTTTAAATTGAACTAACAGACGTATAAGGCGGAAAAAGTTGCCATAGCATGAAACGTTTTAACTCTATATATGATCGAATCGACCGAATAGAAAAATATGTTGAATGATGCTAAAAATTCTTATCACGGAATTGCACTTTATCTGGTCTCGATAGCGACCAATAGAGGTATGCGTGAATTATAGGTAGTCAGATATACTCTACCTTACATGTAGATGCCTAACTATTGAAATAGAACTACAACCAAATAGTTACATACTTTACAAAACATGGGGATCAGAAGAACTCTATGTGCACCATGATATTTCAGAAATGATGATTTATAAAGAAATTCAACCTAAAAGTTCATCCAGGCAATGTTTTAAAGTTTTTTTAAAAACAACAGGGGAAAAAATCATCTTTACATATTGTCAATATTGAAATGGGACATTAAGTAAGATTGACCAAAAGGAAAAATATGTTGAATGACACCAACAAATAACCAGAACAAATAATTAAATCCAATAATTAACAAATATAAACATCAGTGTATATATTGTTTATAGACTACTGTATCTATTCTATGCCCAAGCCTATATTAGGCTGCTGCTTAAAATTTGTAAGGAAAAATTTAAAGAATATATAAAATTAATTATTTAATTTGTAAATATACATATTATAATACGTTAATTTAAAACAAAATAATTTTTAAAACACGTTTATTGTTTTTGAATACATAAACTTAAATAAAATTATGCAAATATTTTTTTTAAATTTAATTTTGCAGCTGTTTACGTACAATATAAAACGCCCAATTAAAGGAAATTCCGTGTTCTTTTTTTAATAAATTTCATCAAAAGCTATTTTTGTAATTTTTAAATTTATTTAACACTGAAATAGAATTCAATATTGTTAAATTAACAAAAAAAAAGTATGTGCGAAAAGAATAAGAAGTACGTGAAATAATTGCAGATAAAACAAACCAACTTGTGTACGTAAATTGAATGTTGAATGTTTCACTGACTTCATGGAATTTTCCAGAGTAAATATCGATTGAGGTTCAGTTACTTAACCGGTAACCCATTTATGAAGTTTATTATATGGTATTTATATAGTATTTCGTAAATATGTTTAAGCATTGTATGTTATTATAAAGTATTTATAAGAAACTGTTGCATATAGTATAATAATTCGAAAGCCAACTTTCTTCTTATGATAAATAATATTTTTTAATAATGAATTCTTTCTTTTAAATACTATCAAGAAGTCGGTTTTGTTTTTTTAGGATTGTAACTTTTATTTCCATCGTAGCTCTCTTCATCTTCATTATACTATTAAGAAGATTTCTTCCATAGAGGTGTAAACCAAATCATGAATACTAATGATATATTTCATTTTAGGACTCTTCTTCAGATGTACCCAGCGCATTTTACGGTTCTTTTGTCATTGTTAGATATTCTTCATTAATTCTAAGCACAATGAATTTTGTTAAAATGTTGAAGTAGTTTTAGTAATCTTTTTAAAATTTTATTTTTTGAAATTATTTTATTTTCAACATTTTTTTATATTTTAAGCCACCGCCATTATTATTCTATGCTGTTGTTAGTTCGGTGAAGAATTATATATTTTCATATCTCATAAATTGCTGATTATGGGTACATTCTTTAATATTTATGGTTCATGAATGTTTTTGCTCTATTTTTACAGTTTGTTATAAGGCTTCGACTTTGTACTGTTGCTTTTGTGTTAATCTTTTTGATCCGTGGTTTTCTATTTGTATTTTTTACTTCAGCTTCAATGTGTAAAGGCATTACTTATTATCTATTGGTATTTCGGATTTGCTTGAAACTATTCTTTAATATTTTTTTTAATAAGATTTTTTGTTCTCTAATATTTTCACTTCATAACCTCAATAAATTTTGAGTTTAAAACCAGAGAACTTTATTTAGCCACATTTAGGTATTTATGAACGCATTTATAAAATGTTAGTTACTAGAACATTGGCGTTGAAAACCGATTGATTTTCAATTAATTTGTGAATAAGCCAAATACTCAAAAATACAAAAAAAATATGAATTATAAAGTGTACGAATCAATTTTTAAACTAAAAATCGAGATACCTATAACCCAGTTTCATGTGAGCTTTGGGCACAAGACCGCTAATCTAACCTTATCTAACCTATCGTACAATTGTTATGTTCTAAAGCAGTGAATTCTTGCGCCTATAAGCATGTTTTTGTAGGGTATAATATCTATGGTGTGAGTGACATAAGCTAATATAACATAAGCATAAATTCTGACCTTTGATCAAAAAATTTCTATCTGATTTCTATCAAGATAATAACTTGAGCATTGAAAGTTTGTGTAGCCTTGGCTACTTGTGTAAAAACACGATTAGTCAAGGCTTTTAATTTAACAGACACGAG